GAAGCTGGACGCCTTCCTGCTGCTTGGAAATCGGGGACCGTTAAACCTAGATACAAGGGAATGGAGCGTCAAGATGCTGCAAGCTATCGATCTATCTGCCTATGAGTTCTTATTTTAGCGAATTGCGTTTAGCGGGAGCCCGGAGAGCGATTCCAGAAGATAGACCGTGTTGCAGTGAAACTTATTTGTACAGTAAAAGATCCCTTTTTTTCCTAGCTATAACTAAGCGACATCGTTGTACACAGCACACAGGTCAGTGGCGTGTTATAACCAAAACGAGCGCCAAGCATAATTGCGATGCTCAGCTCAAGCAATCAAACTTAGCAACCAGTTCAACAATCCGCATCGGTCGCCTAGTTTTATTTAGAATTTTACACAGGCGAACTAGGGAATCTCCGGACTGCTACTCATCTTAGTTTATGGGGATCCTGCTGTTTCCATTGCAGCTACAGCGGTCCCCTGCGTGACCTTGTTTCTCAGTGATCCAGGCTGTCTCCGCAACAATCGGGAAGTGACGGAGCCGACAAATGACCTTACTTTTACTCTCTCTCCCTCTCATCCATTGATCCAGTTACGTCAATTGTTGCAGCACTGCCATATTTATCATCGAGCCACCGTAGTCGTGTTCCTCGACATCAAGGGTGCTTTCGATCTGGTTGATCAATATACCCTCTGGGACTATCTACCCGAAGCATACGTAACAGAGAATGTCCTACTATGGATCATTAACTTCATGCATGTCAAGGTAAACGAGACCCTCTCATTCCCAGTGCCTATGTCCAATGGTGTTCCACAAGGTTCCGCTCTCGGACCGAAACTGTTCAAGATCTACATCAATAGTCTACCAGCTGTACTACAAATGGACTGGCTGATCTATGCAGACGACCTCAAGCTACAGTCGGAAGTGTCCAGCTTCGAAGGCACCAACCGAATACAGAGAACGTTAGGTCTGCTACACGCCTGGTCTATCAAGTGTTTGCCGGTCAACAATAAGAAGTGCTCTGTCCTTCCCATCGGTGCTGCGGAACCACTGGACATTTATCACATTGGCGAGTACTTACTCAGGACTGCCACTCATAAAAAGGACCTAGGAGACAATAGTATTCTGTTGTCTGATCTCACAACTACTCGCGGAACATTGAAGAAATCTGCAGCGGCCAACTGGATGTGGGGTATCATAAGGAGATCATTCTCTAGATTGCACTGCAGATATTCGGACTTCTCTTCACCTTCCATATCCGTCCAATCTTTGAATTCGGACTTCCAGCCATAGCATGAAAGTTCGGCTGTAAGGCTCGAAATTTGTACTTGGGCTACGCGAATTTCCTTATCCCGTCCGGCTACAGAGGGTGAACCTTTTCCTCTTAGACTATCGCCGATGTCTTGAAGATCTCTATATTCGGCGCATTCTACGAGTAGAATTGGGAAACGAGCTGAGACAACTTTTTCGGATAAGACGTAGCACTTCCACTCCAGGTCACAGCTGGAAGCTGTTTGAACCGATGAGGTTCAAAGTCCGTTCAGATGTTGCTCTCTCTATTCGGGTAGTGAATGGTTGTAACCGACTGCCGGACTCGATTCTTAATGCGCAGTCAGAGGCGAGCTTCAAACTTTTGTTATACACACACCTACTGAGTACTCCAGAATCCTGCATAGTTACTACTCCCTCATTCTGAGCGATGCCACACCAACCACACCTGTAATCCTTGGAACACCGGAACGAGAAGGAGCTGACACGGGACCTCAGTTCTGCCCTCTACCACTCAATACACTCAATGATCCGCAACACGTGGAACTGCTCCCAGGTTGAACGACTTTGAGTATGCCGACGACATTGCCCTAATCTGTGACAGCTCACAAACGTGAAAAGCAGCTCTAAACAGCTTAGCACTGCCTGTCAACCGCTTCGCGCCTTGCTTTGCACCCTCATTGTGCAGCGCATTTTCCCAAGATTGATAGGGACCGCCTCCTGCGCTGACCCTTGTTGGGGATCAGCTAGAAGTCGTTCAGAGCTTACTACTTAGGCAGATGTATTAGCGCCTGTAGAATCGAATGCCGGCCGGTGGCCGAGTGGTTTGCACGCCTGGCTTGCAATCTTAAGGTCGCCAGTTCGAATTCGCATAAGGGCGGGCGTCCCCGCAGTGTACTCAACCCAGGCGCGACTGGTGGTGGTCGCGCGGCAACGAAACGTCGTTACGGCGCACAGCTGGTACTACTACTACTACTACTACTACTACTACCACTACTACTACTACTAATAATAATAATAATAATAGTAATATATGTACCATATATCAAATAAAATCCACCGAACTCGTGCTAGTGTTAAATTTTTCAAGCTACTCACTCGCCGTCTCCTCGAATACAAGCATAACATGCGGCAGTACGAGAAAGAGTGAACGAATTTCTGTGGAGCACCTGCAGTGGTCATCTACTGAACTTCTGATTGGTAAGCACTTCAATGAGTTATCCAGAACGTTGCAGTGAACTTTATCTGGAACCCTTTTGGATTCGAGGATTGAAGCACACCTTGTTGCTGCTTTTCAACGTCCTACACACGAACATCTCTCCCGACCTGCCTACTCTCAGCTTACAACATTGCTGAAGTTGAACGCTTCGCAACAAAGATTTTACATTGAATATACCGATGGCTAAAACTACGGTCGCTCTAATTTCTTCTTGGTCAGATTTAGCTCTGTGAATTAAACTACCAATATCACTCAGGTCAGTGAGGCTGCCAGTGAGGCAGCATTTAAAAGCTGACCCTCCAATTACCTTGGTCGAACTACCATAATCCCTATATTCACATGAGAAAAATCCCTCGATGACGTATTATAAGAGGGGCCCAAAATCATCTAAACACCAATCTTTTTAAAACTAAGCATTGGCCTCAGCCATCCGCCATAACGTTGCTGCATGAAACGCATACTCCAATATTCCACCTATGCATGTCACCATGTAAGAGTATGGATACTTCTGTACAAATTGATCTGTGCCGCTACAGACAGTTTCTCTCACCAAGGGAATATGCGTATTATTATTATTATTATTATTATTATTATTATTATTATTATAAAAGCTCGAGGCGCTTTTGCCCATCTCCACTACTCGTGTCGCCGGCACATCGCTCTCTCCCTGAAGGGCAAAGTTTACAATGCAACCGTACGTTCAACTCTCCTGTGCGGTTGCGCCACCTAGTCAACAAGATCGGCAGACGTAATGATGTTAGTTTCGTTAGACCGTCGCTGTTTTCGCATTTTGGCTCATGTCTGGTGGGCGCACCGCGTGAGCAGTGGTCGTGTTAGCTGTCTGTATTTAGTGCAGGAAGGACGAGTGAACCGCGCAGCACCATTATTTTACGATCCAGGTCCCGATTGCTTGGTCACTTGTTGTACATGCTAACACCCCAGCTCCCGCGATATGCGTTGCTTGCGCGCCGGAGTTGTGGATGGAAGAAGAGGAGGAGAGGCTAAACGATGTCTTGATCAAGTGGAATGAATACCCCCACTTCGAACTTGGAGTCGATTGGTGTCCACCGACTGCCGGAATGGGGATCGAAGGACAACGAACGTGTTTGGCTGGATACACTTGTTAACATGGCAAAGTACCGACCTCAAAGTTTTTTGTGTTGTGAGGTTCTTTGTCCTTCTTCATCTCGATTATCATTCCCCTTCCAACCACGACTCTTGCAACATAAAATGTTACTAAGCAGTGTCACTGGTCTTTTGTATTCGATAATGTTTAGTGTCTCGCTTTTTCGTATATTTTATCTTTTTGTATTGCGGTACAATAGTTCAAGAGTGTTTCTCATCTTCAGCTAATGTGTAACGAAGATGATGGTAGACTCGGTATCTCAAGAAAGACAGCGATGGAAATTGTTGTATATGTGTTTGGATGATGACAGTTCTGCTGGGATCCTGAAGGTGTGTTTCATACAAACAGCCGATACTTGCAAGTTTCCGCAGTGCTTGCAAGACCGGCTTATGCGATCTGCTCTATGGTGGGCACGTTTAGCGCTGTCACGTTAAACCGTGCTTTAATTCGGAGCATCGGGGATGAGATAGCTTGAGTTTTGCCACTCCCGGTTAGACGCTGTGTAATTGCCTTCCGTCTGTTCATGACTTGAGGGTTACATAGCAGTTCAGTACTATTCTTCATCACTAAGTGAGATACTACCCGGTTACCTAAGCCAAAGTAAGGGATTGTCTAAAAGCCCGCCTCCCCTAGTCTTAAGTCATGAGGCATGGTCCACAAAGCGACAGGGCGAAATATGGTTTTGTGCTCAATTGGAGCATGTGGTCGGACTGACGGCTATAAAGTACCTGAGTGACACAGCACTCCCGTCGGCTTTGACTGTTTAGGGACGAGTTACAATCAACACTTCACAATGACTGCCGTTTTCATCCCTCGCTTTGGCTTTTCATAGGGATAACGCTTACCAGGCATAGAGGCAGCACGTTATCCAGCACCGCGTCGGAATTTTCCACGACTACTTGTTCATATCAGTTTGAGACTTATTTACAGTCACTTCCACAAGGCCAATATCTCTGTGTCTGCAACTTGGGGTGCACGCGGTGGCCTACAGCTCGTCTACGAGTAAACATCTACTTTCGGTAATCTTTAGTTTATGATGACATAGGGCATTAAGAGCCGTAAGAAGGTTATGCATTGGATTTCGTATCCCCTTCACATGATAGTGACCTGTTTATGAGTGTTTTGCGTTTTTACAAGTTGTGGACGATCTTTCTATAAGACTTATTTTACAGTAGATCCCCTCTTATTTTCATTAGCGAGTATTATAATGGTTGTTTGATAGTGTTTTAATCCCTTGCCAAATCCTTTATGGTACATTTACCGTTAAGGGTTCTCCACTGTTTGCTTACAGCCATAAACAATTTTTACACTGGCATGTTCACTTGGTCATGTGTTACTGAACTTCTTGTACTGAGCCCGATTTTGGCGTTGAGGATAATGGGTGCTGGGTTGCTTGTCTGATTATCATGTCTGGGCGCAAAAGAATTCAACTGTCGTTTTATATGCGTGATGAATCCGAGCCCAAAAACCGCTCTGGCGTAAATGCCCTTCAGTATGACAAGAACAATGATCGTTTGTTCACCGCTGGACGTGACTCGATCATACGCATTTGGAATACACAGAAACCAAAGGTATGTTCCAATGTTCCTCCTACCCTTTACGATACGCTAGGACCCACTAATTCAGAATATGGAGCATCATGCAGATTGGGTGAACGACATCGTCCTTTGCTGCGATGGCAGAAATCGTAAGTACTACTCGATTACTATCAATTTTGTCAATCATTTACATCTTTAATATGGGTTTCTTTAAAATTGTCGCTGCGCTACCAGTGCTGCCACTCAGATAGAGCTGCTTTTTTTCAAAGCTGATTTAACCTGCTGAACTTTTGCGTTTTTGTTGTGCCCATTTCCGTCTGTCTGTCGCATCAGCCTTGGCCTGTAACATTAATCTCCTGGCATTACTGCAATGGCAGAGTGGTTTACCGATTTTGCTGAGCGTGTCAAAAATGCGGATGATATCACTGGTTGCCCCCTAAAATGTCACTAATTTGTAGTGGATCCAATTCTATCAGACGGCAGCTGCCCCCAGCTCGGTAAACACATGGTATGGTTAGCCCGCATACACCACTCTCATGCACCGCAGGTTTACTCGAAATTTCTGACGAATATAGAGGAATCGTTTGGAGTTCCCTGGTGTTGAGCCATAAAAGGGCACTACTTTTGTGCATATCTCTATGAGGCTTCTGATAGGCAGGAATTCCCCCGTTATGGTCGAAATGAGGCAGTCTTCCACAGGCACAATAGCAGCAATGTAATCAACGCTGCAACTGCATTATGATTTAACCGGAACGTTGACTGAGTCGTTGTTGTATCGGATCGATCGACGGCGCCAGCGAACTCCTTGTCTCAGCTCCGCTGGACGGTTTTTAGGGATTCGTTTACTCCCTTTAAGTTGACTATTCTTCATCCTCCTTTTCCATTAAAGTTTACGTTTTTATTCTTATGGTTGCGGAAGTCAACTCGGCTGGTGCGCGGGTCGGGGTTAATGAGCCTTGACTGGAACCGTAACATTTTAGAGCGTTTAAGAAGACATGGCTATTCTACCAAACGCTTATTTATTCTTGATTCAATAGTGACTGGAATGCTGCGGGGTTTTCTCGCAACAAACTCAAAACAGTAAGCTTCATTCTTATACCAGCGAGGCGACAACTTAGCTTCGATGGCTTCAGTTACTCATGTCCTTTGTGTTCGCCGGGGGATGGCGAGTGTTCAGCAGATAAATCTGTCAACTAGCATACTACTATGTTCCAAAAGAGACCGAACTCTTGAAATACAGGTTGACAGGCAGTGCTAAGCTGTTTAGAGCTGCTTTTCACGCTTGTGAGCTGTCACAGATTAGGGCAATGTCGTCGGCATACTCAAAGTCGTTCAACCTGGGAGCAGTTCCACGTGTTGCGGATCATTGAGTGTATTGAGTGGTAGAGGGCAGAACTGAGGTCCCGTGTCAGCTCCTTCTCGTCCCGGTGTTCCAAGGATTACAGGTGTGGTTGGTGTGGCATCGCTCAGGATGAGGGAGTATTAACTCTGCAGGATTCTGGAGTACTCAGTAGGTGTGTGTATAACAAAAGTTTGAAGCTCGCCTCTGACTGCGCATTAAGAATCGAGTCCGGCAGTCGGTTACAACCATTCACTACCCGAATAGAGAGAGCAACATCTGAACGGACTTTGAACCTCATCGGTTCAAACAGCTTCCAGCTGTGACCTGGAGTGGAAGTGCTACGTCTTATCCGAAAAAGTTGTCTCAGCTCGTTTCCCAATTCTACTCGTAGAATGCGCCGAATATAGAGATCTTCAAGACATCGGCGATAGTCTAAGAGGAAAAGGTTCACCCTCTGTAGCCGGACGGGATAAGGAAATGCGCGTAGCCCAAGTACAAATTTCGAGCCTTACAGCCGAACTTTCATGCTATGGCTGGAAGTCCGAATTCAAAGATTGGACGGATATGGAAGGTGAAGAGAAGTCCGAATATCTGCAGTGTAATCTAGAGAATGATCTCCTTATGATACCCCACATCCAGTTGGCCGCTGCAGATTTCTTCAATGTTTCGCGAGTAGTTGTGAGATCAGACAACAGAATACTATTGTCTCCTAGGTCCTTTTTATGAGTGGCAGTCCTGAGTAAGTACTCGCCAATGTGATAAATGTCCAGTGGTTCCGCAGCACCGATGGGAAGGACAGAGCACTTCTTATTGTTGACCGGCAAACACTTGATAGACCAGGCGTGTAGCAGACCTAACGTTCTCTGTATTCGGTTGGTGCCTTCGAAGCTGGACACTTCCGACTGTAGCTTGAGGTCGTCTGCATAGATCAGCCAGTCCATTTGTAGTACAGCTGGTAGACTATTGATGTAGATCTTGAACAGTTTCGGTCCGAGAGCGGAACCTTGTGGAACACCATTGGACATAGGCACTGGGAATGAGAGGGTCTCGTTTACCTTGACATGCATGAAGTTAATGATCCATAGTAGGACATTCTCTGTTACGTATGTTTACGTATGTTTCGGGTAGATAGTCCCAGAGGGTATATTGATCAACCAGATCGAAAGCACCTTTGATGTCGAGGAACACGACTACGGTGGCTCGACGATAAATATGGCAGTGCTGCAACAATTGACGTAACTGGATCAATGGATGAGAGGGAGAGAGAGTAAAAGAAAGGTCCTTTGTCGGCTCCGTCACTTCCCGATTGTTGCGGAGACAGCCTGGATCACTAAGAAACAAGGTCACGCAGGGGACCGCTGTAGCTGCAATGGAAACAGCAGGATCCCCATAAACTAAGATGAGTAGCAGTCCGGAGATTCCCTAGTTCGCCTGTGTAAAATTCTAAATAAAACTAGGCGACCGATGCGGATTGTTGAACTGGTTGCTAAGTTTGATTGCTTGAGCTGAGCATCGCAATTATGCTTGGCGCTCGTTTTGGTTATAACACGCCACTGACCTGTGTGCTGTGTACAACGATGTCGCTTAGTTATAGCTAGGAAAAAAGGGATCTTTTACTGTACAAATAAGTTTCACTGCAACACGGTCTATCTTCTGGAATCGCTCTCCGGGCTCCCGCTAAACGCAATTCGCTAAAAATAAGAACTCAACAGATGCTTGAAATGTTCCTCGGTCTCGGCATCGAAAATGGATTCCAGTAGGTGGTTCCGGTCATTCACAACGCGTGGATAAAGCCAAGCTGAATCACACACGGACTCTTCGGTTTGAACAGCTTCAAACTGTGAACCCGTGTCGAACGCCCAGTATCATCAGCAGCAGCAGTATACAAGTTAGCTAGAAGCGGAAAACACCTCAGCTACTGTGCCGCAATACGTGAAAGAAAAAATAAGAAAAAAGTACAACAGATCCATGCCATCTGAGCTATCGCTAACGGATGGGCATCGTTCCAAAAGCGCTTCGAGCTTTTCTACACGGTTCGTGATCTCATAGATCGGTGGTCGACGGTTATACCCAGTTAAAAATGGTCAAAGATCTCGGAGTATTATCCGGTAAGATTTAAAAGCTGTGGACAATACGCACAAAGCTTACTGTTCCAGCCTCCGCATGCTTTGGTCCCTGAAACGGATATACTCTGTGTGGTCAGAGGAAACTGCTATCAGACCGTATGTCGCATAGGTGCGCCCGCTGTAGAAACACTGCAACGGCCTACTATCCCAGCACGAAGGGCGGGATGAGGAAATTAGAGAGTGCGGCACCTGGCCACCTGTTTGAATCCTACAATTCGTGTCCTATCCTATCAACAAAGGTAGCAAAAATTGCGGCTTCACACCTTAGTGTACAGGAGGTTAGGAACGGATCACATTACAACCTTCAGAATGCTTCACCTGGGACACTTTCCTCATCTTAGGTGTATGTTTTGCGTTTCGGATATATCGATCACCCGTGGGCATGCGCATAAACCTGAAGTTCAGCGGATGGATCATGTTATCCATTCTCATTGCTTCACTCGTCGTGTGCTACACTTCTGGAACTGGCTGCCCAATCATGTTGTTGTTGCAGACTTTGTGCTATCTTTCAAGCAAGGCATTAACAATCACTTTGACAATCTACGTTTCCATGAGGATGCTATGTTCGATCTCATCACGTCGAATGGGCACGTTACCGCTGCGTTAGCGGTCTTACAGAACCGAGATAGTTAAGCCTACCTATGATATGGCTTTTAAACTGTATTTTGTGTGATCGAAACTAGACGATCAGAATTGGGACTTACGCAGACCATTATCATGCATTGGCCTGTTTTGTTTTACCTTTTAGGATGGAGATGACAGATTGTGATCTTATTCACCTAATACAATGATTCTGATTTGGATCCCAAGGGTGCTGATACAACTTCCCAGGTGGTTGAATTTTTGACCAACTTCTAGCTGATCCCCACCAAAGCTAAGCACAGGAGGCCGTACCTGTCAATCTTAGAGGAAAGCTTTGCACTTCGAGGGTGCAAAGCAAAGCCCGAAGCGGCTGACAGTCAGTGCTAACGTGTCCAGTGCAGCTTGGCAAGTTTGTGATCTGTCACAGATGAGGGCAATATCGTCAACATACTACAAGTCAGGAAGTCGTTCGAATGGGAGCAGATCCACACCTTCCAAGTCATGTTCTGTGAACGCGATCTCCATGTCTTCGTCAATAGCAAAGCTGAAGAAAAAGGTGACGGCGCGCATCCTTGTCTAACACCGCAGGGATATTGAGAGGCGGCGACGGCTTGCCGTAAGCCATTACTCTGCCCGAGCTACGCGAGTATAATGCTCGGATAATATTTACATATTTCTAGGGCCCATTATTCCGTAGCAGAAAACCCAAAAGGGTACGACAAACCGTTGAATAGAAGGCACTTTTGATGTTGAGGATCACGAGAACAGTTGGCCGCCAACATGTGTGACGGTACTAACAGGTGACGTAAAGTGAAGATGTGGTCGACGTAGCCACGATCTCGTCGAAACCCAGGTTGCATTTCCCGAATTTGGCGTTCACGAGTGACATTCAGTCAGCGAAGGATGACAGAGGCAAATAGTTTGGAGACGATGGAGATCAGATTGATTCCTCTCGTCATCAGCATCATCATTATCCACATTAGCTAGTGGTAAGAAACACCTCAGCTACTGTGCCGCAATACATAGAATAAAGAGAAAAAATGCAACAGGTGCGAGCCAGCTAAGCTACCGGTAACGGATGGCCACCGTTCCGGTAAGC